CTCCAACTCAAAAAAAAAAAAAAAAAAGAAAGAAAGAAAGAAAAATGTGGGATAGACCACCACTACCGGCCACACTGGAAGTGTATATTGCTGCATCAGTTGGTTTCCTTAAAAGCTTCTGGAAATTTACAGTAGGCAGACCTGAGTTTGAATCCTGGGTCTGTCACTTAGTTACCACATGACCTTGGACAAATTATTAAGCCTCTCCAAGGCTCCTTTTCCTCCCTGGTACAGTGGAGATTAAAAACAGTCACTGATGTGGGGACCAAAGGGAGGCCCAAATTTTACCTGTACGATGACCACTTGTATTCCTAATCCTGAATTGTACCCCACATCTTTAAAATAAAGTTAAAAAAATAGCAACTGCTGTTGTGAGATGACACCATCAGTTGAGATGGCATGTGAGGTCATGTGTGTAGCGCCCCAAGCGCCACTTTCGCCCCTTGGTGCTTGATGGAGGCTGAGTAACAACCAAACCACCCAGGGCAAGTGAGTGGCGGGCAGGGGGACAACCAGGCACAATGCAGTCTTTCAGACCTCCACCTCGGAAGTTAGACACTTACACACTTCATTATTCTTTGCCAAATGTATGAGTTACGTGGTTTGTATTTTACAGGAAAACTAATCCCAAGACATCAATCTATCTTTAAAAGTAACCAATTTTTCCATGGCGTCAGTATCCCTGAACCAGAAGACATGGTAAACTTCTCTATTTTACTGTTTGTGTTGCCGCTTTCTTTAAAGAGGTCATTGTTTCCTGGCTGGGCATGGTGGCTCACGCCTGTAATCCCAGCACTTTGGGAGGCCAAGGCAGGAGGAGCACTTGAGTCCACCTCAGCTTCCCAAGCTGCCTCGGCCTCCTGGGTAACCTTGACCTTCTGGATTCAAGCGATCCTCTTGCCTCAGACTCCTAAGTAGCTGGGACTATAGGTGCATGCCACCACACCCAACTAATTGCTTGATTTTTTTTAATAGAGATGAGGTCTCACTGTGTTGCCCAAGCGGGTCTTGAACTCCTGGGCTCAAGCAATCCTCTCACCTCGGCCTCCCAAAGTGTGGGATTACAGGTGTGAGCCACCATGCCTGGCCATCCCTCTTACTCTCTGTAGAGGTTGATTTGCTGTCTGTGTTACTTAAGTTCAAGCTATGATCTTTAAAACTCATATGGTCTAGGGTTTGCCTACAGAAAGAAAAGACTCAGGAGAGGCATGTGTCCACACTTAAGCTGTGTTAGAGTCAGCAGTGTAGGGATGGGGAAAACCTGAGAAGCCAGATAATGATTGATGCCGGGTGCGAACTACCCAACTACCTCTAGACACTTGTTCATTTTGTAAACCAATTATTTCACATAATACCTTTATCTATTCTGGTTTTCTTTTTATTGTATCTGTTAAAAACGTTTAACAGATATAATACAAGATTAAGGTTGACTTACAAGGTTAAAGTTTACAAAGAATATTTACATAACATGTGTTTAATTTGAGGAATAATATTCAACAAACTCACACGTCTCTGCTGCCCAGTTGAAGAGGTAGAATATTACCATTATCTTTGAAGCTTCTCCATTCCTTCGCTTCCCGCTATTCTGAATTGTGTTTTTCAATCGGTTGATTTCTAGAGTGCTGTTATATGTGTAGTTCAATGTATTTTCATGGATGCTCAAAGCTTCCTTAGAAGCAAATCAGGCACCTATATTAATAAATTTTTTTGAGTCACAGTATCACTCTGTCCACCCAGGCTGGAGTGCAGTGGCATGCTCACAGCCACCCCAGCATCAACGCACTGGGCTCAGGCGATCCTTCTGCCTCAGCCTTCCAAGTAGCTGGAACCACAGGTGCATGCTACCATGCCCGGCTGATTTTTTGATATATATTGTAGAAACGAGGTCTCACCAAGATGCCCAGGCTGGTCTAGAACCCCTAATCCTCTTGTCTCGGCCTCCCAAAATGCTGGGATTACAAGCTTGAGCCACCACACCTGGCAGGCACAGATGCTGTAGCCCTGTTGTAGGATTTCAGATAGGGACACTGGGACCCACGTTTGCCCAGCATTAATTGCCAGACATCATGAAAATTTAAAAAAAAAGTCTAGTGTCATGTCTTTCATACCTTTACACTTTAGCAAAAAATTATATATAAACATGTTTTTAAAAAAATCTTTAGGCCAAGCACAGTGGCTCATGCCTATAATCCCAGCACTTTGAGAGGCCAAGATGAGAGGATTGCTGGAGCCCACGGGCTCAAGACCAGCCTGGGCAACTTGGCAAGACCTCATCTCTTCAATAAATAAAAAAAATCAGCCAGGCATGGTGGCGCATGCCTGTAGTTCCAGTTACTTGGAAGGCTGAGGCGGATGGGTCACCTGAGCCCAGCAGGGTGAGACTGTGGTGGCCGTGAGTGTGCCATTGCACTCCAACCTGGGTGACAGAGTGAGACTCCAGCTCAAAAAAATAAAATAAAAAATCTTTAAGAGAAAGTATCTCACATACTAGGAAATCTTCCTCCAAAATGTTCTTATTACCAACATATCAAAAGGATACATTACTGTTATGTGATGTTGAATTTTTTAACTTTGTTTTCCAGGAAACTCTTGAGGAAAAGTTCTCTGATGTTCATCCTGAGGCTTTGAATTTCATGAAGGTACTTAATCAGTTACAACTATTATCGATTACAAATTGCAATGACTGAAGCTGGGAATTCTGGGAGGGGTGGACAGTGGAGCAAATAATGCCAAAGTGGGGCAAAGTCAATGAAAATGATAAGGAACTGTCAATTACACTTAAAGACAGCGATAATTCTAACTATTATCATTATTGTTGGTAGAGGATGAAACAAAGTCAGAGCCATGCAGACACCAGACCTGGCTGGCCCCTGCACTAGGCTAAGAGAGATGGTCAAACAAAGGACAGATTCTAGTAAGAAGCAGAAGAAACTTATCTGTGATCAGGCTCCCATTCATGCTTGACCAACAGAGGCCACACTAGGGGATGTGGCCTTACCTTCCAACTTGGAGAGTGAAAGCCCTTTGCGGGATGGGAGTGAGGATCTGTCTTTAACTCTCATTTAGGCTGGGCGCAGTGGTTCACGCCTATAATCCCAGCACTTTGGGAGGTCGAGGTAAGAGGATTGCCTGAGCCCACGGGTTTGAGACCAGCCTGGACAACTTGGTAAGACCTCATCTCTACAGTAAACCAAAAAATTAGCCGGGCATGGTGGCGTGTGCCTGTAGCTCCAGCTACTTGGAAGGCTGAGGTGAAAGGATCGTTTGAGCCCAGCAGGTCGAGGCTGCGGTGGCCGTGAGCATGCCACTGCACTCCAGCCTGGGTAACAGAGTGAGATTCCAACTCAAAAAAAATCCAAACAAACAAAAAACAATCAATTAAATTCTGTCTATGGCAGTGGTTTCCAAATGTGACTACTCATCTGAACGACCTGGGAGCTTTGTAAAAACACGGATCCCATGAGCTACGTCAAATTCACAGCAGCAAAAGCATCACACATGGGACCTTGGCATTCATGTCTTTAAGCACGCCCTTGAGTGATCGTGATTAACAGCTCAGTTTGGGATTTGTCTGATCTAGACAGCGGGGCCATTGCATGATCTGGAGTCAACTTTATAGACAGCCTTTGTGCTAGCGCTGGGCACTGCCAGGGTGCTATACAGGGTGCTGGACCACTTCCCTGAGTCTGCCTGAGACTCAGAGCCTGATCCCTCTGTGCTCTCAGACTCTTCCACCCAACCTCAGCGGCCCTTGCCCCTGTCTCACTGCCCTGACCTACCTTCCCCCAGCACCTGCAGGTCCATAGAAGCCCGATTCCCTGACCTTGTTCTGACAGGTTGCAACAGTGTAGCAAAATCTCCAAGGCAGAGGGAAGGTGTCAAACCCAACGCATTTGCAGCTGAAGGCCAGAGGCCACCTGTGGCTAGTCTGCCAACCAGCTTCAAACCTTCCGGGAAGGCAATTCCAGGACACAAAAATTCCAAGGCATAGGACAAATTCAACAGGTGAAGGGCCCTGTTGGCCGCCTCAGACTCTGGCTGAAGTTAAGTTGCTACTCAGCGATTTGGTCTAGACCCATAAATTTCAACCTGAGGCCCAAGAATCCTCAAGAGTATTAAGGATTGTGCCATTTCATGGACCACTCTCTCTCCCCTAGACTCATGCCCCATATTAGATGAAAGAGGATATTTTTAAATTAATTACAATTGAGACATCTTTAACAACAAATAAGTAATGGCTGCCATATCAGGTGGTCATCCCACAGGGCCGGGTCATAACCCATGCATGTGCTGAAGTGTTGGCCAGTGACAGTGCCAAGAATCATGGTGGCGGCATGCAGTGGCCACTCGATGGCAGGTCTGTTGTGTTCTCTTCATTAGGTTTGAAAGGAGATTGGCTGGGTGTGGTGGCTCAAGCCTATCATCCCAGCACTTTGGGAGGCCGAGGCAAGAGGATTGCCTGAGCCCAGAGGTTTGAGACCAGCCTGGGCAACTTTGCAAGACCTCGTCTCTACAATAAATCAAAAAAATTAGCTGGGCATGATAGCATGTGCCTATAGTTCCGGCTACTTGGAAGGCTGAGGCAGAAGGATTGCCTGAGCCCAGCAAGTTGAGGCTGCAGTGGCCGTGAGCGTGCCACTGCACTCCAGCCTGGATGATGGAGTGAGACTCCCAACTCCAAGGAAAAAAAAAAAAAAAAACCAGATCATGAGCACAATCTTTATTATGTTTTACTCATTTGTTCCCATGGTCATAACCATTCTATCACTATATCAGTTTAATCTGTCCATCAAGAGGAAGACTAATAAAGTATAAGAAATTTTATCAGAGGACTTTCTGTGAAGTAAGTTTGAATTTAAGAAAAGGATCCTGATATGGACTTTGGGGTTCTAATTTCTCATTTTCCATCTTCAAGAACTTTTCCAGACTGGGAGCACTTCTAGGGAGCAGCTCTGAGAATTCATCAGCTCTCAATGTGCAGAGTTATTGAAGCAGGCAGGCGAGAACTCACAATCCACAACTCTACCCACTTCACCTCAATGCTCCCAAAATTAACCAAACGGGACACTTCCAGCCCAAACCCCCATGGAGCAGCTCAGCACTAGCGAGTTCTTCTTGAGATCTAAAAACGTTCTTTTAAATAAAATCCATAGGGATTTAGGGACGGGTTAGATTCTCTCTCTCTCTCTCTCTCTCCCCCTGAGACTGAGTCTCACTCTGTTGCCCAGGCTGGAATACAGTGGCACACTCACGGCCACCACAGCCTCGACCTGCTGGGGTCAGGCAATCGTTCCAACTCAGCCTTCCAAGTAGTTGGAACTACAGGTGCACACCACCACACTCGGCTAATTTTTTTATTTATTGTAGAGACGAGGTCTTGCCCAGTGGCCCAGCCTGGTCTTGAACCTTTGGGCTCAGGCAATCCTCTCGCTTCTGCCTCCCAAAGTGCTGGAATTACAGGCGTGAGCCACTGTGCCAGGCTTAGATTTCAATAGTTTGAAAGCCCATATAAAAACACAGCTGAATTCAAGACATATTTGAAAGGAAAACGAATAGGACTAAATTAGGATTTCCATCTAGGGAATGAAGGAGAGGAGGTGGAAGGGTGAGGTCCTGGTCAGTTTCCAAGGTGTTGGCAGGCCCGTGCTTCTTCTGAAGCCTCTCGGTGGGGATCTCTCCCTGCCTCTCCCAGCTTCTGATGGTCCCCAGCATCCCTGGCTTGTGGCAGTTCATGCCAAACTCTGCCTCTATCATAACATGGCAATCTCTGTGTGTGTCTGTCTTTACACTGGCTTTTTTCTGCCTATAAAGGCACCAATCATAATTGGATGCAGGGTCTACCCTAGGCCGCGATGACCTCATCTTCACTAAGTGCACCTGCAAAGACCCTCTTTCCAAATAAAGTCACATTCTGAGGTGCTGGGATGAGAACTTCAACTTATATTTTTAAGGGGACACAATTTAACCCATAGCAATGCCCATGAGACTGTGATATTTCAGTAGGAATTACATCTGCAGGTCCGGAGTTCATAGGAGAGGTCTGGGATAGAATTATCAGTGTGGAGATCTCAGGTAAGCTCTGATCATTGATGCCATGGGCATCAATGAGATCAGCTACAAACTGAGGACAGATGAGAGAAAAAGGGCAGCTAGGACTGAACCTCGAGGAATTGTAGCCAACCACCATGGAGAACACGGTAAACTAGCAAAGGCTGGTTTGAAAAGGAGAAACTGGGAGACTGGTGGAAGAAAAATGAGAGATCAGATAAGTCATAGAGAGTTTCAAGAAGAGCATTGGGCCAGGTGTGGTGGCTCACACCTGTAATCCCAGCACTTTGGGAGGCTGAGGCTGGAGGATCGCTTGAACCCAGGAGTTCGAGACCAGCCTGGGCAACATAGCAAGACCCCACCTGCAGTAGCTCACACCTGTAATCCCAGCATTTTGGGAGGCCGAGGTGAGAAGATCGCCTAAGCCCAGGGGTTCAAGACCAACCTGGGCAACATAGTGAGACATCATCTCTACAATAAATAAAGAAATTAGCCAGGTGTGGGGGCACACACCTGTAGTCTCAGGTACTTGGGAGTCTGAGGCAGAAGAATCACCCGAGTCCAGGATTTTGAGACTCTGATGAGCAATGATAGTGCCACTGTACTTCAGCCTGGGTGACAGAATGAGACCCTGACTCAAAGAAAAAAGAAAGAAAGAAAGAGGAGGAGAGTGTGGTCAGTAGTGTCAAATACTGAGGCAAGAACTCAAAATACACTTGGGACTGAAGGCTCTGGAAGCAGAGGTCATAGATATTAATAATGAGAGCCACTTTAACAGAATGATGAGGCAGAAGCTGGAACAAAGTGATGAAGAAATAGAGACCAGCACAGATTGTATTCAAAGTGGCCTTTCTGTCCTGATCACAGCCCTGACCGCATTAGGGTCTGAGGAGACCGTGTCCTCGTAGCAGCTGGAGTTAAGATATGGCATGGGTCATTCATTAGAGGTGATTTGCTTGGAGCAGGCAGTAGTCGAGGAGGGAGAGGTGAGCCTAGCAGTGCTGGGCAGGGTTGTTTCTTGAAGAACAGGTCTAATCAGATGCCGCTTCCAGGGGCAGGTGACACTTCTCAGGGCATGCAGCGTTCTCGGGGATCTGATGTCAGCTGGGGTAAAGGAGGAAGACACCATGGGGGCGGTCCTGGCAGGGAGAACCTTAGGCCATGCAATTGTCTGGACTCCTGAATGCCTGCAGACAATGTTTATGGTATTGGTGAACCCTTAGTCCTCTCTCAGATAAGACAAGTCAGCTCGGGTCATCTATGCCTGTCCAATTCTTTACAGGTCATAACCTGTCTTTTTTGATGGGAAAAGCCCCGTTCTCTGACTAAGGAGTATCAGGGCTTCAGGAGAAATCCTCCTTGTGTCAGGACTGCCACTGACCCTTCTTCTGTCATGGTCCTTCCCACTCTCTGAATGAAGCAGAGCTAGAGGCGTTTAGCGGTCTCAAATACAAAGGGACACAATGCCACCTTTTCCTTTTTGCCATGAATATATAATGAACATATATTTTATTTCTCCTTGTAAATTTTTTTGCGGCCAAGCATGGTGGCTCATGTAATCCCAGCACTTTGGGAGCCTAGGAAATGAGGACTGCTCAAGTCCAGGCATTCGAGGTGCCTGAGCAAAATAGCGAGATCTCAGCTCTACAAAAAAAATTTAAAAATTATGCGGGTATAGTGGCACGTGCCTGTTGTCCCAGCCACTTGGGGGGTTGAGGCTGAGGTGGGAGGATCGATTGAGCCTGAGAGACTGAGGCTGTGGTGAGCCATGATCGTGCCACCGCACTCCAGCCTGCGTGACAGAGTGAGACCCAGACGCAAAAAACTTTTTAAAAAAAAATTTTTATTTTTAAGATGGTGGGGTACAGTTCAGGGTTAGGTATACAAATGTTCATTATGCAGGTACCCTTGTTGATGGTGTGCCCCCTCAGCAAATTCCCACTACTGCCAATCCCATACCCACCACTGCAGTTTCCCACTACTGCCAATCTCTTTTTACAGTATTACGATAGTTGTTCAAGGTTCATGTATGAGTGAGAACACGTGATACTCAGTTCTTTGTTTCTGTGATAGGTCACTCAGTATTGTAGAACTCTAAGTCTATCCAAATTGCTGCAAAGTTCATAATTTTATTCTTTATGGCTGCGTGATATTCCACATTACAAAAAACATTTTTCTCTTTTTGAGTTGGAGTCTCACTCTGTCGCCCAGTCTGGAGTGCAGTGGCATACTCACGGCCTCCCCAGCGTCCACCTGCTGGGCTCCCGCGATCCTTCCGCCTCAGCCTTCCAAGTAGCCAGACCTACAGGCGTGTACTACCATGCCCAGCTAATTTTTGATTTACTGTAGAGACGAGGTCTCACCAAGTTGCCCAGGCTAGTCTCAAACCCGCAGGCTCAGGCAATTCACTGGCCTTGGCCTCCCAAAGTGCTGGGATTACTAGCTAAGCTACCAAGCCCAGCCAAAAACCATTTTTTAAAATTAAGTCCTTTCTCATTACTGAATTTCATACTTCTTCAGCTATCTCCTTAAACTAACGGTTCTCAGACTTGCATATGGGCAGCAGAATCATTCCAGCACTTTGGGAGGCTGAGGCAGGAGGATTGCTTGAGGCCAGGAGTTCAAGACCAGCCTGGATGACATAGTGAGACCCCTCCCTCTGCAAAAAACAAAAAACAAATTAACCAAGCATGGTGGTGCACCTGTAGTCCCAGCTACTTGACAGGCCGAGGCAGGAGGATCCCTTGGAACCCAGGAGCCTGAGTCTGCAGTGAACTATGATCATGTGAATGCACTCCAGCCTGAGCAACAGAATGAGGCCGTCTCTAAAAAAATTAAAATTGAAAACAAAGAATCACCCAGAGGGTTTGTCAAACAGATGGCTGGACCCACGCTCGGTGCTTTCCATTCCATTTGGCAGGTGGGGAATAGGACCCAAGAATTTGAATTTCTAACAAGTTCCCAGTTAATCTGGTGCTGCTGGTCCAGGGGCTGCACTCCAAGACTCCTGCTAGGGCTCTGCTCTCACCTGTGATGAAAAGGTGTCACTGGTGGGAGCCCCTCCAGTGACACTGGCCCTCCAGCCATTCAAAGAAGCAATTCTAGCGATTCACAAGTTCCTGGATCTTGATGATACACAGACTGGAAGGTTTTCCAGACTTGTGTTTACTCCAATATGTTATTCAGAGTTTTGGGGCATAGTCACCAGATAAGCCCCTCCTCTGACCTCTTTGCATTTCTCTTCTTCCCAAGGGGTGTCTGAAGATGAACCCAGATGACAGGCCAGCCTGCGCCCAACTCCTGGAGAGTGCCTACTTCGATACTTTCCGAGAGGAGCAAATGAAGAGGAAAGCACGGGGCGAGGGGAGAAACAGGAGGCGCCAGCAGGTAACTCGCTCAAAAGTGAACGCGCGGTGCAAATCATTCTCTTCTGTCGTTTTTGTCTTTCTGCCTTTCAGAGTGAGGTTCGGTGAACACCAAGACCTTTCCTTTGTCTTGGTGTCGTCGTATCTGTTCAGCTTAATCAATATTGGTGATGGACATCATAAAACCATAGAACCATGAAAATATCCAGATTATTGCAAAATTTTATTCCAAATACACTTGAATGAAATTCTTACACAACTCTGTTGCTACTCTGGGTGGATATACGCCACACAAGATCATATGGCTTTTTTTTGTTTTATTTTGTTTTGAGTCAGAGTCTCTCTGTCGCCCAGGCTGGAGTGCAGTGGCATGCTCACGGCCACCGCAGCCTTAACCTGCTGGGCTCAGCTGATCCCTCCACCTCAGCCTTCTAAGTAGCTGGAACCATAGGCCTGTGCTACTGCGTCTGACTGGGTTTTGGATTTATTGTGGAGACGAGATCTTGTCAAGTTGCCCAGGCTAGTCTCGAGCCCCTGGGCTCAGGCAGTCCTCTCACCTCTGCCTCCCATATGGGGGATTACAGACATGAGCCACCATGCCCGGCCAATCATATACCCCTAACACGACAACCTCACACAGCAGGACTGAGTCATGCCAGCATTCAAGGAATCCTGGTGCCCTTCTGTATCTTCAGATAGGCAATAAAGGATGCTGGACATGTCTGTCTTTTCCCCCATGGTAGGCCCCTAAGTCTGTCTTTCCTGGGCTTTTCATTGAAACCAAGAATAAGCTCTGCCAGATACAAAGGAATGAAACCCAGACATCTGGGAACCAAGTTCTATCCTATAGGCCAACATTGCAGAGCGGTGTGGTGACCATTAGGACGATCGTGAGCTCTGCAGTTTATCAGATGATTGACCTTCACATACTTTAAGAAAACCTTGAAGTGAAAACATAAACTCCACGAAGTAGGTTTGTTTTGATTCGGGTTTTTTTTCTCACTTTGTAAGCTCAGCACCTAAAACACATAGCAAACACTTAATACATATTATGTAGATAAATCAATAGATCAATATTGCTTACTAATAAACCAAATTGGCAAATTTTAGTTTATCAGAGGCTGTGTTACATTTTGTTTGTTTAATCTTCTGTCTTCAATCTAACTTTTTGTCATGTATTCATGTATCTTTTTATTACCATGTCTTCTATAAATGAAAAAAGTGGTCTTTTTTTTACAATTTTTTTTTTTTTGAGTCAGGGTCTCATCCTGTTCCCCAGGCTGGAGTGCAGTGGCAGGATCACGGCTCACCACAACTTCCACCTGCTGGGCTCGGGTGATCCTCCCACTTCAGCCTCCCAAGTAGCTGGGACTACAGGCGTACACCAATACACCTGGCTAATTGTTTGATTTTTTTTGTAGAGATGGGGTCTCACTATGTTGTCCAGGCTGGTCTCGAACTCCTGGGCTCAAGCGATCCTCCTGCCTCAGCCTCCCAAATTATTGGACGTGAACCACTGTGCCCAGCTTTCCGATCCTTTAATAGTTAAAGTAGAAATTTATCGAGAGAAAAAAGACCAAACTAATTGATAAGATAAAATGTGAAATTACTTCTGTGTATCTAAAATCTCTGAGTATCCAAATATTTATTGCCCATGCCATTTCACCTTCTACTGCCCAGTGTTTGCAAAGGAAGCCTAAAGCAGCTTAGCCTCGAATATCAAAAAGATCAGGGTTTTTTCAAATAAATCAGAGGCAGCAACCTGGAAGACAGTGCGAGTTGTGTGTGAAAGGACACTGTCCCGTTAAAAAGGGCTCGCCAGATTCCCATCCCTGGCCTGGGGGTGAATAGTATCTGCCCCAGCCAGCCTCCTGGTCCCGACTCGCTTCCAATGTGGGGACCTGGCAGTGCCCTGGTCTCCATCCAGGGACTCGAAGATGCTCTCCCTCCTCTGCTCCAGTTTGCAGCGTGTGGACAGCTGTGTTTTCTCTTTCCCTCAAGGCCTGGAGCCCTGTTGATATAGGTCAGGAACTGTATACCGGGTCTTGCAGAAGAAGCACAAAGGGCGCCATGACCTAGAGAATCTCCCTGACGAGGACGAGATCCTCTCCCCTGTCCCCCAGAGAACTGCACTCTGTTCACCTCTGCCTGGGGAACTCCACAGTAGCACCCATCCCGAGCCAGGCCAGGACAGCTTCTTCCTTCAGGTGAGGTCCCCAGAGAACAAGGCCAAGAGGAAGACAGGGATGCCTTTCCAGTTGCTGTTTTCTTTCAGAAGACACACTTCTTTCCTAGACATTTTACCAAAGCAGAAAATAAACTAAAAATTACAGAAATTGCTGGGCACTGTGGCTCATACCTGTAATCCCAGCACTTTGGGAGGCTGAGGCGGGAGGATCATTTGAGGCCAGGAGTTCAAGACCAGCCTGGGCAACATAGCGAAACCGTCTCTACTAAAAATAAAGTAAAATTTTTTAATGTTTAAAATTAATATAAAATGTTTATAGTAAATAAATAAATTACAGAAGCCAGGCTCGGTGGCTCAGCCTGTAATCCCACGCCTTTGGGAGGCTGAGGTGAGTGGATTGCCTGAGCCCGTGGGTTCGAGACCCACCTGGGCAGCGAGACCTCATCTCTACAATAAATCAAAAAATCAGGCGGGCGTGGTAGCGCATGCCTGTAATTCCGGCTACTTGGAAGGCTGAGGCGGAAGGATCGCCGGAGCCCAGCAGGTCGAGGCTGTGGTGGCGGGGAGCGGCCACTGCACTCCAGTCTGAGCGACAGAGTGAGACTCCAACTCAAAATAAATAAATAAATAAATTACAGAAATATATTTCCATTCAGTGTGGTTTTACTCTGTGAGTCCAAATTTCTACCTAGTTCACCACAGCTTCTAGATTGCTGAGAGGTAACAGTTTCCCTAAGACTAAATAGTGTATGCCGGGTGTGGTGGCTCAAGCCTGTAATCCCAGCACTTTGGGAGACTGAGGTGACAGGATTGCCTGAGCCCACGGGTTCGAGACCAACCTGGGTAAATTGGTGAGACCTCGTCTCTACAATAAATTTTTTAAAAATTAGCCGGGTGTGATGGTGCATGCCTGTAGTTCTAGCTGCTTGAAAGGCTCAGGCAGAAGGATCTCCTGAGTCCAGCGGTCGAGGCTGCGGTGGCTGTGACCATATCACTGCACTCCAGCCTGGGCGACAGAGTTAGACTCCAACTCAAAAAAAAAAAAAAGACTAAATAGTGTACAAACTTGATGCAAAGCAGTTTTAAGCTATCACTGGCCTGCTAATAGCCTATAGTAGCTATTAATAATTTGAGATGGTTACAATGTAGACTCCTAGAATTCTTGTTTAGTAACTGGTGGGCATCTATCGTTTGAACACTGACCAGATACACAGTATATATAAGTATATTAAAACAAATAACAGTACACCCATGAGAATCCTAGAGTAAGTAAGAGAGTCTAATTTTCATGTACCAGAGGATCGCAAGTTTTGGAAAGGTAATGGTGCTTAATCTAAAAGTTGATGTCTTTGACGTCTTTGTACCACATGTAAATATCTTTTTGTCTTAACACCTTTAACTCAGACTGTGCAAATAGGAATTGCTTTCGATGTACTTTCTCATTTTTGTCTCGTTCTGCTATTAGAATCAGCTGTTGCCTCTCATACCAAGAAGCCACATCTCCCACACACCTGATGGAAGAAAACAAGTCCTCCAGTTAAAATTTGATCATCTTCCAAACATTTAGGAAAATGTTCTTTCAAGTGCAAAGTAATTTAATATGTACAGTTTGTACAAGTGAGATAGGAATTCTCAGTGTTTCAAATGCAAATAAGCCATATGAAAATTAAGATGCCTTCTACAATTGTTTTGCTCTGATCATTGCTGACTCCCTTCCCGTGCTTTTTACATGCCAACTTCATCTTTTAGAACATTTACTTTAAATGCTATAAAGCCTAAAACTGCACATATGGAGGAGACATTTTCGATTTCATCAGAGCAGCACCTCCCGAGGGAACTTCCATGGAGAATCTGTGGGCTTATACTTTGGTTTATGAAAAAGATTTACATGGCCAGACTCAGTGGCTCAGCCTGTAATCCCAGCAGTTTGGGAGGCTGAGGCAAGTGGATTGCCTGAGTCCACGGGTTCAAGACCAGCCTGGGCAACTTGGCGAGACCTCGTCTCTACAATAAATCAAAAATTAGCTGGGCGTGGTAGCTCGTGCCTGTAGTTCCTGCTACTTGGAAGGCTAAGGGGGAAGGATTGTAGGAGCCAAGCAGGTCGATGCTGGGGTGGCCGCGAGTGTGCCCCTGCACTCTGGTCTGGGTGACAGAGTGAGACTCCAACTCAAAAACAAGAAAGGAAAAAGACTTACACGTGTCATCTTGCTTCAGCCAACCATACCTTGAAAGGTCATCTAGGTTAGATTCCAGGTCAGGCTCCACTTTCTCTGTCTCAAGAGACACTGATGATTCTATTTTTAAAGCCAGCAAGAGAAAATTCCATGCAGACTCCATACACAGCAAATAGTGCAGCAGTGACAAGGAATCACCGTCCTCATGACAGTCACGCCCTCAGGTGTTCGGCGGCTGACCCTGACGCTGACCTCCGCTGCATCACAGCTCCTTATCATTCTTTTCGCCTCCTGGCTAAATCATCTCAGAATCTAAAACGATCCTCCGGGTGTGTTGTCTGAACGGTTCATTGCCAATACTCTCTTCCCGTTGCACCCATAACCTCTATGAAATTGTGCTGCTCCAAGCGAGGGAGAGTGTCATAAGCGGGTGTGTTCGTAAACTTGTACAAGGGTAGGAAGATTATCTTCCAGTTAATTTCATTTTGTGTCTCCTAGCCCCCCAAAAAAGCAAAGCAAACACTTCCATCGGTGAGCTGAATAGACCTTATGATATTTTCCCAAGTGCACTTGACATATGTACATGTATATACACATATACTTATAAACATGTATTTATTGATTTTGAAGAATCATAGTAGGTGTCCTTTATCCTAGACATATAAAAATGATGCAGTGTTTGAAAGTACTTTTAGTGCTGGGCATGGTAGCTCAAGCCTGTAATCCCAGCACTTTGGGAGGCGGAGGCAAGAGGATTGCCTGAGCTCAGGGGTTCAAGACCAGCCTGAGTAACTTGGCAAGACCTCATCTCCACAATAAATCAAAAAAATTAGCTGGACATGGTGGCACATGACTGTAATCCCAGCACTTTGGGAGGTGGAGGCAAGAGGATTGCCTGAGCCCAGGGGTTCAAGATCAGCCTAGGCAACTTGGCAAGACCACGTCTCTACAATAAATTTTTAAAAATCAGCCGGGTGGGGTGGCACACGCCTGTAGTTCCAGCTACATGGAAGGCTGAGGCAGAAGGATCACCTGAGCCCAACAGGATGAGGCTATGGTAACCATGAGCATGTCACTGCACTCCAACCTGGGTGACAGTGAGACTCAGACTCAAAGAAAAAAAAGAAAAGAAAGTTCTTTTAGTTTGCTATCGAGAAACTCACGTAAAATAATAGCACAGAGCTATCACTGTTTTAATAGCACAAAACAGTGATGTTCCTATCAATACAAGTTAAGAGTATATTTTAACTCTTCTGTTCCCTGGTCAGGAATACTTACCTAAACATTGTCAAATTTTGCAAATACATGTTATTCCAGAAATGTTTTGTGTCTAGCACCAAGAATTAACATATATAATTGTTAAGGAAACCCAGTAACACCTTACATTTATCTCTAAACTTCCCTAGAGTCTCCTTCCGTTATTTGGGTTGATTTGGCCATTTGGCATTCTTTGTGTAAAGATACGCTGTCAGAACCTTCTTATTTTCATCTTGATATCAAGAATGTGTCTCCCCAGATTTGTATGTTTCTTGCATTTTTAATAGGATGATGCCACAGGTGCAAGGAAAATGAGAAATAAAAGATAAAAGGCAACTTTGCGGAAATGTTTATTTTTAGCTTTTGTAGTGTTCTTTCCATTTAAGCCTTCTTATTACCAAACCACCCAATCTGCTCCAGTTCTCCTAGATATTTATACATGCATCATATCTATGCATATGTGTGTGCATATGTACACACACATGTATATGATAAATATATACTGGGGTGCCAAAAAATGTATGCATGTTTTGTTTTTTGGGTATTTGTTTGTTTTTTGTTTGTTTGTTTGTTTGTTTGTTTTTGAGTTGGAGTCTCACTCTGTCGCCCAGACTGGAGTGCAGTGGCTGCTCCTGGTCATCGCAGCCTCGGCCTGCTGGGCTCCGGCGATCCTTCCGCCTCAGCCTTCCGAGTAGCCGGAATTACAGGCATGCGCCACCACACCCGGCTGATTTTTTTATTTATTGTAGAGATAAAGTCTCGCAGCCCAGGCAGGTCTCGAACCCGCGGGCTCAGGCAATTCACTCACCTCAGCTTCCCAAAGGCGCAGGATTACAGGCTGAGCCACCGAGCCCGGCTATTTGTTTGTTTTTGAGTTGGTGTCTCACTCTGTCACCCAGGCTGGAGTGCAGTGGCACACTCATGGTCACCCCAGCGTCGACCTGCTGGGCTCTGGTGATCCTTCTGCCTCAGCCTTCCAAGTAGCCAGAACTACAAGCGAGTGCTACCACGCCCGACTAATTTTTTTTTTTTTTTTG